TCAATATAGTCGCGTTTGTTTAAAATTACTGTACCTGATCCCTTGTCTGGTTTTGTGATAATAATGCTGTCATCCGACATTAGTTTTCTGAGGCATTCTCTATGCTTTTTAGTTAATATACTTTTCTTGTCAATCTTGGCATTATTGTATTGGTAACAACAATCAACCAAGGTACTTTTAAATCTGTCTAACTCATGTTGGGAGGACGGCGTTAGGTCAAGTGTCTGAATGAAGAGGTTTTCAAACTGTACTTCTGTATGTAATTGGTCAATATTAACTCTTTTATCACAAAATTTAGGGCCTAGTGACAACACTTCCATAGCAGTCTTATCTAAAGTCACACTGGAAAAGTTGAAGACGTACCTTTCAGGGTCCTTGGGAAAGTGAGATTCTGGTATTTCCGTATCTAATCCTTTTGTAAGCTGGATTCTTTTTTTAGTTTCTCTAGTTTTAGAAACATCGTGGACGTATTTTAAGAATAATTCCTTTAAATGTGTGGGGAGTTCATCGACAGCATACTGTCTCTGTGGAATATTTCTTTCTAATGTGCTAATATGTCCTTGGAGAGATTCAATCTGATTAAGAGCGAATCGCTTGAGAGATTTCGTGTTTGGGCGCACTTTACATCGACGAAGAGATTTAGAGAATGATTTAGGATATTGGTTATTCTCAATACAGTTTCGGATAAAATCCACATTAGTTTTCGCTTCAGCGAGCTTTGCACTATACTTCAGATACTCGTTGAGTGCCTTCAGTGCAACGGGATGCTCACAAGATTTCAGTAAATGAAAAATCCCCATATTGAAATCAAAACAAGATTTTGAGCGAACAATTGTTTTCGATAACTTCTTCTTCAGGCTCTACAGTTATAAATCCATGAATAATAGAGTACATATAGCCAGTAAAGGCAAATGAAAATAATATCAGAAACTGTATTGGGGTGCATGTGTAAGTTGAGGTGATAGTCCATTAGTTAGCATAGTCAATTAAATGTGTATAGGGTGTTTAGTCAGAAAAATGTGATGAAGTGTGAATGAACAATTAGGTGATATAGTGTAGTTTTATAGTTAACAGAATACAAGTGTCCTTGGGGTGAGAAAATGCGATAACCACAAAATACATGTAAAGACACGTTAAAAAATGAGGCACTGGATATGAGGGCTGACCGATAATGTCTAATGATAAAATAAAGGGGCTAAATTGTAAATTGTAATAAAATGCTACAGAATTGGTAGGTTTAGTATAAAATCATAAAGGTTGACAAAGTAAGGGTAACAATGAGGTGAAATAAACTGGGTGGAGAAATGGATAATAAAGACATGATATCACAAAATAATAATAATGATAATAATAGTACGAAAAGATTATGATCCTGGTGACCTTATAGTGGGCCAGGGTAGACAAAGAGAGTGAATAAGTTTTTTCTGTACACATAGATCTGGTCTTTCTCTATTAATCTCTAAAGCCTCAGCTATGGCTAGGAGGCGTAATCGTGTGCCTTTGGGGAGATTGTTCGGTACCCGATACGCAACTGTAAATGACTCATCTACTTTGATGCTGTGTTCGCTATCCACTAGATGAGACAGAATTGCACTATTAATTGATTTGGTTGTTCTTTTCCCAAGCCAAACAGGAATATGTTCACGAGTGCGTAGAGATAAATTCCTCTGGGTACGACCTATATAACTAGCTCCACAGGAGCAGCTAAATTTATATACACACATTGATGTCGCCATTTTGGGCAATCTATCTTTAATGCACGGTGTCAATATCGGTTTGGTTGAGAAACTGACATACAGTTTTGCGGCACTAAAAGTTCTTTCAATTGATCTTGTTAATCTACGGTTTAATATATCACTGGCTATATCACCTTTGAATTGTACATTTAAGTAAAGCTTTTTCTTACTTACTGCGTCTCGCTTGGTATTATGTGTAGTTTCGTAGATATACTTCTTTACGAAGTTGGTAGGGTAGTCATTTTGTAGCAAGGCGTTTGTAAGATTTTTTATTTCATCTTCAATACAATCCTCGGTACATATGCGTCTAATTCTATGACTAAGACAGCGAATTAGGTTGCGCTTATATTGTATAGGTATGAAGCTATGGAAGTGGGTGTATTGTCCGTTCCACGTGGCTTTCCTATAGATGTTTCTTTTCAAGGTACCGTCTGATCTTTTTGTGAGAAGGACATCGAGAAATGGAATACTACCTTGTAGTTCCTCTTCACAAGTGAATTTAATAGCTGGGTGTACCTTATTGAAGACTTGCAGCAGATGTTGTTTATCCAAATTATTGTTACAAATGATAAAGGTGTCGTCAACATATCGACAATAATAATCGAGTTGGTTTAGTATCTCTTTTAAAGGACCATTTTCCAATTTGGATAGAAATATGTCGGCTAATAAGGAACCAAGGGGAGAGCCCATAGCAACCCCATCTATTTGGCGGTAGTACTCTTTATTAAATACAAATTGGACATTCACTTTGTTGAAAATATTAAAGATATGAAAATAACAGAAAAAACCATGTTATCGCTGGACGTAACATCACTATTTACCAACGTCCCCCTTGTAGAAACTGTCGACTACATATGTGAACAACTCGTAGAAAAGAATATAGAAATTGGAATCACACCAAGAAAATTGAAAGAGTTATTACTAAAATGCACTATGAATGTCCAATTTGTATTTAATAAAGAGTACTACCGCCAAATAGATGGGGTTGCTATGGGCTCTCCCCTTGGTTCCTTATTAGCCGACATATTTCTATCCAAATTGGAAAATGGTCCTTTAAAAGAGATACTAAACCAACTCGATTATTATTGTCGATATGTTGACGACACCTTTATCATTTGTAACAATAATTTGGATAAACAACATCTGCTGCAAGTCTTCAATAAGGTACACCCAGCTATTAAATTCACTTGTGAAGAGGAACTACAAGGTAGTATTCCATTTCTCGATGTCCTTCTCACAAAAAGATCAGACGGTACCTTGAAAAGAAACATCTATAGGAAAGCCACGTGGAACGGACAATACACCCACTTCCATAGCTTCATACCTATACAATATAAGCGCAACCTAATTCGCTGTCTTAGTCATAGAATTAGACGCATATGTACCGAGGATTGTATTGAAGATGAAATAAAAAATCTTACAAACGCCTTGCTACAAAATGACTACCCTACCAACTTCGTAAAGAAGTATATCTACGAAACTACACATAATACCAAGCGAGACGCAGTAAGTAAGAAAAAGCTTTACTTAAATGTACAATTCAAAGGTGATATAGCCAGTGATATATTAAACCGTAGATTAACAAGATCAATTGAAAGAACTTTTAGTGCCGCAAAACTGTATGTCAGTTTCTCAACCAAACCGATATTGACACCGTGCATTAAAGATAGATTGCCCAAAATGGCGACATCAATGTGTGTATATAAATTTAGCTGCTCCTGTGGAGCTAGTTATATAGGTCGTACCCAGAGGAATTTATCTCTACGCACTCGTGAACATATTCCTGTTTGGCTTGGGAAAAGAACAACCAAATCAATTAATAGTGCAATTCTGTCTCATCTAGTGGATAGCGAACACAGCATCAAAGTAGATGAGTCATTTACAGTTGCGTATCGGGTACCGAACAATCTCCCCAAAGGCACACGATTACGCCTCCTAGCCATAGCTGAGGCTTTAGAGATTAATAGAGAAAGACCAGATCTATGTGTACAGAAAAAACTTATTCACTCTCTTTGTCTACCCTGGCCCACTATAAGGTCACCAGGATCATAATCTTTTCGTACTATTATTATCATTATTATTATTTTGTGATATCATGTCTTTATTATCCATTTCTCCAACCAGTTTATTTCACCTCATTGTTACCCTTACTTTGTCAACCTTTATGATTTTATACTAAACCTACCAATTCTGTAGCATTTTATTACAATTTACAATTTAGCCCCTTTATTTTATCATTAGACATTATCGGTCAGCCCTCATATCCAGTGCCTCATTTTTTAACGTGTCTCTACATGTATTTTGTGGTTATCGCATTTTCTCACCCCAAGGACACTTGTATTCTGTTAACTATAAAACTACACTATATCGCCTAATTGTTCATTCACACTTCATCACATTTTTCTGACTAAACACCCTATACACATTTAATTGACTATGCTAACTAATGGACTATCGCCTCAACTTACACATGCACCCCAATACAGTTTCTGATATTATTTTCATTTGCCTTTACTGGCTATATGTACTCTATTATTCATGGATTTATAACTGTAGAGCCTGAAGAAGAAGTTATCGAAAACAATTGTTCGCTCAAAATCTTGTTTTGATTTCAATATGGGGATTTTTCATTTACTGTTCTGTTGATTAATTTTTTTCTGTTTTCTGTCTCACCCCTGCCTCCTCTTTTCAACTTTAAACGCATGTAATTTGATGATGAAAACTTAAACGAAACATTGTAATTCTTTCATTTTGGATGCGTCAATTTTATAAAATCTCTTCTCTACTACCACCCAAACATTAAAGTGTGTTATAATCAACTATATAGCAATTGTAATTTCAGGTATTCTGCAGCTGATGAGAACCTGTGAAATAGAATGATATCAATTTATTCTGCAAATTTCGTTTTCTCTTCTTTATCGATTTTTTTTTCATTTTGCTTTTAACCTTTTCTGGCCTTTCTATTGAATATTATAAAACAGTTATTTAACACCAACTCTTCTTGAATCGTTTTTATTTCATCATGTAGTTTTTATGTCGTGCTACTTTTTCCTATTTTTCTGTATGTTAGACACTTAACCATGCCTGCTGTAACGGTTAACGGATGAGACGAATTAAAGTCTAAATATATGTTAGAATGAGTTGGCTTTTTGTAAACGCAGGTGTACGGCTTACCTACTTGTATTCGTTTTGTTTTACAATCTAGCATACCTTATACACCTTGTTCATTTTCCAACACAAATGTGAATTTTTATTCCATTTACTAGCGAGTTAATGTGTGAAGAAACTGGAGGTATAACAACAGAAGACAAGGGCCAGGCAACAGATCGTTTTATTACGAAATCAACACGTATTTATATAAATTTCACATACATTATTACAGCCTAGTCAAGTAGACAAACGAGGTCTTCTGATTGCTTGTTTTCGAGTTCCTCGGAAAGTGGAGCCATCAATCTGCGAATCATATTTGCCCACGTTTAAGTTTGGTGTGATTGGTTGTTGAAACAGCCTTGTTCATATTTTCTCACGGCCCATATAAGTGACCTAGACACTGGAGTAGATTAATGTCAACCAATTGGCTAGCAGGCTACTCTCACCACAGAGTTATGTTCTGCTCATGACAATGTGAAAGTGCCATCTTCATACCTTCACCATATTTTTGGAGTAGGCTGAAGTGTATTAAGAGCCATACGTTCCCAGCTATCCTTAAAGATATCTACTAGGATAGGAGATATTGCTGATCTCATTGCTACACCATCTGTTTGTTTTTATATTATGGAATATATATGTCATGGAATTTAAAATCAGTAAATGTGAGGCATAACTGAATTCCTAAAATAAATTTCGCAATGGGAAGCTTTGTACTACTTCTAAGTTCGCGATGAGAATTTCTTTCTCTTCAAACCGCTTTCAACACCATGTTGATGGATATGTTAGTCTGAAGATCATTTATATCGAAACTGACCATTTTGTCATTATTCTTTGATGTATAGTTGAAGAATAATGGCCAGAATACTGAATTCAATCGGAGTAAATACAGATCTCAAACTGAAACAAGCGCTTTACTCAATACTCAACAGAGTAAAACAGAAAACATTGAAAGAACATAAGAGGAATTCAGTTTACAAGAACTAATGTTCTGATTGGCAGTATGTTTTATTGCTAGAAATGGTAATCATAACGAAATCACTGTGTGCGTTTGTTGAAACTGAGAAATGAAACGGTGTATGGTTTAGTTGATAACTATTTGTCAGAAATCTTTGACTAATCGACACATCGCACAATATGCAAGTGTGTTGTAGTTTGACATGGACGTAAACAGAGAGAGCACACATTCCACCAGCTTCGACTGATCACGTCTACGTTTCGCTTAAACATACGAATTCGTGACATTTAGGTTACGGTGTTTAAAAATTTTAGAGCACTTCTAATCTATTACATGCATATTACGAGGTAATTTTTCTGCCAGTATGTTACTGTAGATAAGTGCGAAGGCATTAATACAAACTTCTCGATTCTTCATCCAAACACTACAAATGATCAGAGTGTTTCGGTATTAGCTGTTATATTTATACCATCACATTTCAGTCGTTGATTTTTCGTTAAACTACGATCTTCATGCTGATCTTTTGGCGATTGGAGTAGACAATGTTTGAACGTATTCTATTAATGCTTTATCAACATAAGAATAATATGTTAACATGAATAGGAATAAATTACATATTAGAGAAGATGTAGATGAATGCAAAGTATACACTCTGCATAAAGACTTCCTTTCCTTCTCAAGCAAAGCAAATTGATATTGCTGCGAACATTGAAATAACCGCTACGTATATATTTAAAAGGTCCAACAGCTTCTCGAACATGGATCTTGTTTTTCGAAAACGTTTTCTGAGTCCACAAACCACACAGAACAAAATCTAAAACAAACCAAAATACGTAAATTATAAATGAATATGATATGTTTAAATTCAGTAGAAAATCAAAGATATTCTTTAGCATCACTGTTTTATGGTAAAATGAAAATATCAGGTGTAGTACGCAATATGATCTACGAAACCCAAATGGAAGGATACTTAAGCTGAAGCTGAACATTGGTGGTGAAGAAGTGTTCTACAAAAGGCGAAACGGCCTTTCACAGCACACTGTCGGATGTAGCAGAACAGACTGCAAGTGCGCGATAACTCACAACACCATAGGAGATAATCAGATCTGCATAAGTGGAGAGATTGATGCAGATGCAACCAGTGGGAGGTAATGGGTGAATACACATTATCAAGTAGATGTAATAGAGGAGATGTTGGTCAGAGCAGTTCAAAAACTGTTGCATCGACTATCACCTGTGCCTGGTCAAGAAACAAAACTGTTAGTGAATACCAGCCCATCGATGAAAACAGGAGTCGTCAAGATAATAATGTCACTGAAGGCCAGTAAAATAGCATAGCCGGATAAATATCCTTGTTGACCTCATAAACAAAGCTGTAGATCTCAAAGAGACATGATCAGATCACCATGTGAGGAAATGTTAGGTGAATAGAATGTACTTTTTAAAAGCAAAGAAGGAGGGTGATTTAAACCCAAAAGATATCTGGCGCAGAACCATGCTCTTGTTAACTACAAACAATACATTTGGCTACATGATTCTGCGAAAACATTTTCAGCGGAACATCGTGTATTCAGAAAACCACTCCACGTGGGGATCCGATTACAACATATTGGATTATCAGCAAAAATGTCTCTAAATGGTTGCCACCTCTGGACCACTACTTAGGTGAATTTGAAGACAAGTCTGAGAGAATGAAGAGAATTCCCTGGTATTGTGAAGTGTGACTCTGCAAATATTCAAAAGAGCGATTTAAATTATTCAAAAAATAAAGCGTTTGGTCTTATCAGAGATATAAAATACAACCACCGACTACCACTTATGATCTCTATGACTGTAGTTCATGGGATTCAGCGACGAATTATGACAGGCATTTGTAGAAATGACAAAATAATCTAAAATATCTGAAATTCGCTGAATACTTGTCTCGAAACTAAGGAATGCAGGTAATGAATAGGCGAATTGAGAATTCAGGTGAACAAAGAGAGATGAAAAGGGGTTGACCAAGATACTCGGAATATAATAACACATATCAACTACCATGATTTTGAGCCACACATTTTATTGTGGCTGTGCATGTGTTCGAATAGAGCTAAGAACTGTAGCTTAGCGAATTTAGGAGGTTACTACTCATCAGACAATGTGTGAATGCATTAATTTGATCCATTAGTAGAAAAGTGAACTACACATAAGGAAGACTGAATTTGGTGTGAAGTGGAGAAGTCAAATACAAACATCAACATGATCAATATTTCACTAAATGAAAATTACCTTTGACTGTATAAATGGTGTGAGACTTACAAGACTTGCTGCACAACACAGGAATACACCCGCGAGAATTGCGAATAATATCTAGAATGAAAAGAAAATTTACCATGTTGGATGAGTGACTGGGACTATTGAAGAGTCTCTGGTGAGTGAACTGAAAAATAAATTTTTTGACGAAGTTACGTGAGAATTGGAATGTATTCAACTTATCTCTGATTTTTTGCAATCTATTCCACATAGTCAGGTGTTCAGGGAAGACAACTTTGTCCTTCAACTAATGTCACAGGGATTATCATTTACAACTCACTCCTTCTATTTCGCATTGTCTAGTTAAAATTTGAAGATGACACGTTAATATGTAAGGAACTAATGAGACGAAACTATTGACTCCGAAATACTTCACAAAGGTGAATACATGAAATGTTGACGGTAAATGAATGATTCATTCTGAATATGAGAGGAGAGAAGAATGCGTTCCATTCCTTTGCGAAAATCTGGAGCACAAAATTAGATGACTTCGACCTGGTTTATTCCTGAGATGTTGTACAGGATGAATTCTAGTGTTGTGCTTGATTTTCGCGCTTTCTGCCGACTGGTTTCAGTCACCTAACATCAGTCAGAAGGGCACTGTGCTGGCAACGAATGTAGATTGATGACCATATTGAAAAGTTGACTAATAGAATTCTATATGTAGAAGACCGTCCACTGCAAATATATTCATTATTGTCTTGCTAAAGTTTTACTTGATGCATACTGATGACCTGTTTTTATCAAAGTTAACTGGGATATCGTATGCAAGTGAACTGATTATAAATTGTCATTTGGACAACTCAGGTTCACTGCTTACCAACAGCCAACCACAAGGAAATATTCAATTAACTAGTGTATAAGCACACTTGAAGCAGGGCAAATATCTAAAAGATCACCTGAAACAGAACACTCTCTTCAACAGACAGTCTCATATTTGTGTTTGTCATACAAGTTTTTCATTTTATAATTCAAGATGCATATTACCAGCTATCTAAAATTTAAAAGGACGTCTCTGAGGTGAAAGTGAATGAATTACAAGATTACTTATAAATAATTACCCTTTCCGATGTCGCCTTGATGATTAGGAGAACAAATCCCACGAAGGCAAATACAGCTGCTACTGAGGCGAATACGTTGAATCCCTTCGTTGTCAGATTATTCAAATTCCAGGAAGCAAATATTATTATCGCTGAGATCGCAAGGGTTACAGCAATTGAGATAACAAGATATACTACACCATTATACAGATATCCCACACCGACGAACAGTAAAACAACCTGAATGGGATAAGTGATTGAAAACTGAAATAATAATACATATATTATTCTAATTTTACAAAACAAAGGATAACCAACGTGTCTTCTTATCAAGTGACAAGTTCATTTTCGGTTTGTTATTTACTCAGGTGAAATAATTGTGGACTTCTGACTACTTTTTGTGTTCAGTTCTTCACGAAATTATATCGGACAGATAATCAGAATAACAAACTATGAAGGAATCGTAGTCCACTTCTCTGCACTATTCAGTGATTCTGTGACTGGTATCTAGTCGTGATGGAAGCCAAATTCAAACAATAAAATTACCTACAAATTTGAAAGGCGACAATAGTAATTCTGTTTGAATTGTCGAGCTTATCTTATTTGCGATGCAGCATATTGCATTTATCTAAAATTCTTCAATTCAGATATAAATCATTTCCCTCAAAATTAATAAGGAGTCATTAGACCATGAATTAAGAAATAGAGAATATGACCAATTTGTGTTGTATATTTCTTGGTGAAAGAGTCGCTTCCCTCTGAATGACACCTCATAGTGTCAGCATTATCGTGGAAGTGAGTCAAATTTCAATAACACATGACATGTAAATGATCAAATCATTTATAACGAAAGGGACGATGCAGTAAGTTATAGATTTATGTGATACCTGAACACTGTTTTACCATGAATTTCAACAGTGGCAACTAAAATATTTGTAGTCAGCTTTCCTGAAGGACACCAACTCAGATATATAACAATATTCATTCTAGGGAACAATTTACGTACAGAGGTCGTACATGCCAGTTCCACAAAATTGTCTACGCATATTTCGACTTACCACCAATACCAGTATAAGATAGTTGACTAGAAACATGGTCCTCAACTTCTCAACTAGCAGTAAAGCCGCATATAAACAGATTCCGCATAATCTAAAAGAAAATAAAGTGAATGAATTAGAAATTTAGAAGTTGTATTCTGATTGACAGTACGAGGCATATTTTTAAGCTACTCGCAAACAGAGAGGAAAGAGCATCTTTAATTCATCACTGACTGATAATCGTCAGCATTTGAATGAATCAGCAGCATGTCACACACCCTCAGTGTCATTTACATATTCATGATGAATATGCATGTATGAATGAGTGGCAATCTGTTTACTGCTGACATTAATAGCAACAGAAGCATATTAGGAAGGAATTTAACACTGTACTGGTAAAATCCACTAATGTATTTATAAGGGAACTCACAGAATAATTAACAAGGCAATGCTGACTCTGAAATACAAACAAAGGTTTATTATGGGACATAAAGTGTGTTTTACATACCCTGTACTCATTGTGATGCTGTTATTCAAGGTTGTGATAATTATCGACCTTATGTATACGGAGGAATGTGGAAGGATGTGGCTTCGTTAAACAGTTGGTGACTGTCAGTATCGCCAAAGCCCGTATTACTGTTTTCAAATTGTAAACAACAATTAACAATATTCGTAAATCACTTTCGTCTTACAATAACAATTAAAAACTTACGTGGGTAAATAAAAAGGTTATCAGTGGATTGAAGTCGAAGGAGTCCGTGTGAATATTTCCTTTTGATAAGTTTTCTTTATTGTGATTAAATGCAACAAGTTGCTTTGCGAACTGAAATCCAAAAACTTTTGAGCTTGACTAATGCTTTTTATAAGACATAATTGTTGGTGAAAGCACAGTTCAATTACTGTTAACCTTGTTTAACAGATATCTGATGAAACTAACATTTATAGATATATTTATTCAATCTACTTCGGGAAGCCTTAAACTGAATAAGTTGCGTAATTGTTCAGGTGAGTGAACGCACTCTGGTTAATTCATAACTTGCGTCGATATAAGCTCAGTGTCATTCTCGTATATCTGCAAGTTCAGAATATAAAAGTGTTCTGAAATCACAGATATTATATCGAGGTATCATAATAGTGAAGCATAATCTCTTACTTAATTATGAAATAATAATTTTCACCCACCTGTCTTTTAACCTTGTAATTTCACAAATTAATCTACTAATATCGTAACAACTTCCACTGATAGTATCATAACTAAGTACTGTCACCCGATGAATGGATATCTAGATTATAAAACCCCGTGAATGAAATTCTCCTTGAATTATGATTTTTATGATAAACTATGATTCTGTCACTAATTCACACACCTGCACTGTAATCTTATTTACCACGTCGGCATTAAATGCATAAGAACAATATTCATCATATATTATGAAAAATGAGAAACGAAATGTTCTCCATTTCCTCAGAATGGATGACAGGTTAATGTCTCACGTAATGAACATTGTGACATTCATCATGAAGCTTGTCAATTCCACATTGGAATTCTTCTTGTGAACTTGGACACAGTAAGAGATAACGCACGAAATGATTCTTAGTTCAAAGCATGATAGAAAATAATAAGGCGTCCAATGAATCACAGCGTAGAATGCAATACTTATTGTTTAACAATATTACAATAAGCGCTTAAACAGATCTATGAGTTTCTGTGTACTATTTAAACATGCACCAGGAAATTAAAAATGCGTATTTTCAGAAGAACACTACATTGAAACCTGTGAACTAATAGAATTTATTTACATATATAGAGTGATTCAACAAAACACACGAGAACATGAGAAGCGAATCTCACATCTCATTCAATGAAGTGGTTGCAGTGAGTTCCGAATAATCTACTGCGTATAAGAATGTGTCCTCCGGCGTTACTGTATATTCACTAAATAGAGTGTCAATGGCTATCTGAAAGGTGTATATGATCATCCATACACCGAGTTTTACCCAGGGAAGAACATAACGTGTTATTTATCCCAAAGTTGTATACAAAACGTGATGCATAAGTTGAATGTATATTGTGGGTTAAATTCAAGTCAGTTACACACAAACTGAGACGGAATTTCGCTCCATTGCCTTGAACGCCACTTTTCGAAATTCTGTTACAGTACTGTTCCAATCTCAAGTTCAGTTATCACACATCTGATTATTATCAATCTGCCTGTCAACACTATCTCAAACAGTCTCCTCAGCATATTCCAATACAACGTCTCATTGAATGAATGATAAATATTGGTAATGAACTCACAGTATAGCTGTACAGTGGTAGGACTGAGTATTTTGGTATATCGAGTGCAATAATGTTTATAACACATCTGCTTATATTTATTCATTTCTGATAGAAAACACTGTGTGTGGATAAGGTCTAGTGGTAACAATATAAAGTGTGCCTAATACGAATGCGCCAATAAAATGCTTGCTATAACCAAAGTGCGATATTCACAGCTATGATTATGTTTGTGCATCGATCTCACAGACTTGAGTTAAACTTTGAAATGTGGTTGTGAGCAAGACAATTTAATTCAGATTACATCATTTATGGTGTAATCAAATAAAATGTTTACTCCTGTCAGAGTAACAAGCATTTTACTACCGACACTAAATTTTCTTTCTGTGAAATCATATTTCTCTGATATTTCGAAGTATTTCGATAACAAATATGAGAATTGATGTTAGAAAGGCTAGAATAAGCTGAGTGGCATCATTAGGCTTTCCTCACAGAACTTGTTCACAGTAGAAATCCCGCTTTACGTGGTTAATCCAGTTAAGTGCAAACTATCCGTTCTGTTTTCCAAGCACACATTAGTAAAGTCTTTGTTGAAAATATGCGTGTGTGCTTAGGTTGAATGCTCATGTGGAAGCTGTAAAATAAATAAGAAAAGAAGTCTGGGAGGTTTTACACTTGGTGGAAAGTTTTATTTATCAAAAATAGGGCGATATAGGGAGAAACTATGGGAGTGATGAACAGATGAGATGCGACGCTTAAACTATCGCTTCACAGTAAATACTTAGAAAAGGCTAGTTCACGGAAAAGCTGACAGTGATGGATGCTATGCGTTAGCGTTTCAGTCTTTTATACCAGAATGCAGTTCTCGTCTACTTGTCATTTTTACCAGTCATAACTTTGAATTCCGAAAAATTGCAGAATCAAATTATGGAAGTCATTTCGTCTTAATACAAGAACAAAACTACTGCAGCGTGATAGATTGTAATTCCACTGTGGCTAAGTGTATCTATCTTTCAGTATCTTTCAAACCTGCATGGAATTGAGAAACAACTTTCATGATGGGCAAAATTTATTTTGATAACGTCTCGCAGTGTTATGCAGTAATATTTCCTGATGATCACGTTTCGAGCCCAATTTATTACTGCTCATTATCATACCAAGATATTCACACAACATCCTAACCGCGTTTATATAATTCCTTTATTTTTCATCGCTTGACTTGATTGATAGTAGTATTTTCCATATATTCGGTATGAATGTGAGTCATTCCTGTGTTGGTCTAGACTCGATGAACAAGGATTCAGTAATAGACTCTCTCTCCACCTGCCTATAATACTTCTGAGCTTTTATCTAAATTATCTCCTAGGAGTCAACCATTCCAACCTTAACTAAATTACGGTCCGACAATCTGACGACCCCGATCTACTTGTTTTACCGATATAGTTGACTTAACCGACATATATTGCAAGGTATTTGTAAATTATATTGTTTTGTCTAATTAGGTCAACTAAGTCGGTGACACAGTGGTTAGGACTCTCGCCGACCATGCACATGGTCCGGGGTTTGACCCTCTTCCGACGCACACCTGATATCTATGGTCGACCTGCAAAATTTGGGCTACCGATATCCACGCTGGAAATTCCATACTTGTACCAAAAATACGGTGTGGAATCAAGCTGTAATCAAAAAAAATTAATAAAATAAAAAAGTCCTTTAAAATACAGAGCTTGTCCTGCCTCATTGAGTTCTCGGATATTCTTCCTCAGGTGAACACTACATAATTTGGTTTGAAATCAACTGAACTGTGATAAATAAATTGACATAGTTTATATCATTTCTGTTGAACCTTTGTAGATGAGTAATTTTTCATTGTTGGTATAATGGCATACTGTTAAGTTGGGGGAAGTTGTTTGTAATGTATTCACAAACCATGCAGACGTATGGCCTGTTGATGAAGTCGATACTGCTCTCACTTCAATGATAACTCAACCTACAATAATGAAGCCACTGGATATGAACGAAATAACTACTGAAGAGCCTCGTTGATATTTGTTTTGGAACGACTTTTTAGACTAAGACTTGTTATGACATGAAAACATAAGTGGTAGAATGCAGGAAAGAAACACACAAAGTTTTGATTAATCATTGCATCACTTAGTATTTCAGAAGAAAACAAAAATAAATCAGTCCGACCGAATTCAATTTGCGTTTCATCAGGCTGGACTGCCACTTCAGGCCTGTTGGAAATACTTCATCAGTGTGCAAACATGACTATAACGATGTATCAACTATCCAACCATTAGTATGGTGAAGAAGTACCGCTAAAATGTTTCAAACTAAAGTCAAAGAGCTGTTCAGTGCAACATCACTCGGATTGCTAGCCTGTATCACGCTCAAGAAAAGAGCGAATGCTGGGCATGATGTTAGCAGCTCTATATCGGCAAATGACATCAGTCGGTTTGGACACACAGAACAGTGTTAGCTTGTAGGTTCACATAGCAACTCAGATTTGTTCAGTGAGTTGAGATCACTGAATTAGATGACTAATTAGTGTAATCAAAATTAAAATTCAGTTACCAAGGCAGTGAGAGATTAATCACACTCTCTTTCCGTACGCATAAGTCTGGTTTGAATCGTTAGATTACGATCACTTCGGGAAATCGTAGTAAATTTGCTGTCCTTTGTCTATATAATATTTTGAAGGACTTGAAAATCTCTACGAGATGTCCGGTATCAACAATATGTCTGGTATTTGCACTCTGAGACTATTTGCTCGCTTACAGTCACAGGTTTCTTGGAATATGTTCAGAAAATCAGATGTAAGCCCTTCTTTCCGCCCTTCCAATGTACTTGCTCCCGAAAGTGCACGTTAATTCATAAATGCAGTTGGAGTTGACATCAGCTGGGTATTTATAAGTTTTGAGTGGCTTATAGAAGTAGAAGTATAGAAGTAGAATGAGCAAACGAAGGCATGATCGAAAAGTCCATTTATAGAAAAGAATCCTGGACTGGAGAATATCTTCACTATATCAGCTTTTGTCCCGTATGCTAGAAAAGCGGATTTGTGAGGAATTTGTACGACAGGGCCAGGAAGCTATGCTCACCAAACAACGTCGAAGAAGAATGAGATTTCATCAAGGAATGCTTAAGAGGAAATGGATACCCTGAGGGATTTATATGGAAGTATAGCAGAGAAAAAGATAAGAAAGAAAAACACCCCAACTGCAGAAAAGAAAAGAGTGCTTGTTTGTCTCCCATTCCAAGGAGACGCAGTGTCACAAAAGATTGACAAAAGACTGAGAGGTGCACTAAAAAGAAGCTTCCCGCCAGCAAAACTAATAACATTATACAACACCACCCCTTCTATAAGCCACTCAAAACTTGATAAATACCCAGCTGATGTCAACTCCGACTGCATTTATGAATTAACGTGCACTTTCGGGAGCAAGTTTATTGGAAGGGCGGAAAGAAGGGCTTACATCTGATTTTCTGAACATATTCCAAGAAACCTGTGACTGTAAGCGAGCAAATAGTCTCAGAGTGCAAATACCAGACATATTGTTGATACCGGACATCTCGTAGAGATTTTCAAGTCCTTCAAAATATTATATAGACAAAGGACAGCAAATTTACTACGATTTCCCGAAGTGATCGTAATCTAACGATTCAAACCAGACTTATGCGTATATATCAATTGTGGTCACACGACTTTGAGACTTCATATCTTTTGTGTTCCCATTCTTCTTCTGGTGAAGTGTAATTTGTTGAACATTTGTATTAACAATTCTTCTATTATAATTGATAAACAATCACAATTTCCTGTAAGTTATCGTAAATATTGCGAACCCTTTTGCTATCTTAACTGCAATCGTCGAAAACATCTCATCACAACATCTCACAATGATGATTGTTCGCGTGTAACTAAAAACTGTCTAATATCAAAGGAATCGCAGTTGAGGTCCAGACAGGGAATCATTAACACGCAGCAACACGACAAACCCAGCTCCTCAATGGTGACTTTATAGAACTTGGAAAACATGATTCAATTTTAGGCGACCAAGGATTACTGCAACGATTCAACTTGACAGACATCAGTTATAAAACGAGAGACTAAACAGTGTTGAAATGGTTATGAATAAAGTCTTCGATATATACACATGAGAGATATTCTCCACCCGAAATAGAATCATGAATCAATATAGATATGCTAACGGATCAATATGAGAAGCTTTCTCGAGAAACGATAGACGTATTTTTAAAAAGAACCTCTTGGACACAGTTGGTTTGTACCAGAATATCGTGCGTTTTTGGGCAATAAACTCACAGGAACTACGACAATTGCTATTCGCCGTATAACCACATATTTCCTGTCACCTCACCGATTACATTTAATGCATCATAATAACTTAATTACTTATATATGGTCACATCGTTTTTGTGTTTGATGAAGAGATAATCGCAAGTAATACACATTCTAACGGCTGTGATCAACCATGATTTATATCTAAAAATTAGGGCTATATGACTTTGGGGATTAATAGATTTCAGATCATTTGTAAAAGCATTGTTGGATTTTACAATGTCTGTAAGAGTTGGTATGTTGTACGTATGTTGTGGTGACGTTTCAATATTTTCTTCTCGAAATCTGAAACACTGCCTCACTAAAATATTGTGTATATCCCACAACCGTCTACTGAAAAGACCAGTATCTGTTACAGCCACGGAAAGCGAGAATACTAATATGTCAGTGGTACAGTGGTTATCAGCAACGTCGGATTATTGCCTCACAAAATATGAGTGGAACTACTCGTGTACTTGCAGTAATTGGTGCCTTCGATCAAACAGAAAAACAGTACTTCCTAAACTAAAAATGAATCGTGGTAGGGGAAGAGCAAACCGTGTCTGGGTGCTGGAGCTGTGAGATGCAAATATTTGTAAAAGGGTTAGTATGATGCATTCCAGAAAGGCGTAGAGATGTTTCAATACCAATAATACGGCAACTAGTCCTCTCAGGTACTACCATTCAGACAGAAGTTTGAAAAGATAACTCGCAACAATCATCGTTGGACTATATTCAATCATTCTTCCGAATTACTGAACC